TGGATATTTTTGCAATATTTCGTGGTACTTACTCGCTCCTAGTTTGACTTGTCACACGCTTGTACCATGCGGGAAACACAGGCTGTTGTCAGTGTAGTGGTGTTGTCGATCAGCTTTCTGTTCCTCACATCAACTTGGATTCCAAAATGTGATAGGAAGTCAGCTCCGAGGATTGGGTGTGTCACCTGGGCGATTATGAATGGCCACGTGAATTTTCGCCTCAGTCCGATGTTTAGGCTTAGGGTTCTAGTGCCAAACGTTTTTATTTGGGACCCACTGGCAGAATACAACATAAGGTTGTGATTGGCTGGTCCAGCGAATTTATCAAATGGGAGAACACTAATTTCTGCACCTGTATCGATGAGGAATGATATTTTTGATGAATCATCTTGTACAAAAAGGTGACACGGAGTTGAGAGAGGTTCGACTGTCGCCTCTATCGTTCCTCTCTGGAGTTTTCCTGCGTCGCTGAACATGGGCTGATGCATTTTTTTTGCGGAGGTTCCAAATCGACGGTGGTACCAGCATTTTTTGTCTGCGCTAGGCTCTTGTGTAGTGGATCTACCTCTTGACTCTGACCGGTCTCGAGATAACCTCTTTATTACTGATGTGAGTTCGGAGACTTGTTTCTGCAAATCTCGAGGGAGTTGGGGTTTGATTCTGGAATGTTATGAACTGCTTGAACATGGTTGTGTCCCACTGTCTCATGAATTCTGTCGGCAATTGGGCCAAGCAACGCGAGATCGTCTCTCGAGCCATAAGGTTTAAAGTGTTTTATTTGAAACTTTTCCATCGTTCAAGTTTTGCATTTTTTGTAATAACTGGGATGGTCTCTGGTCACCAAGTGTCAGTGTACTAAACAGCTTCTGTGTTTTCTTTACGTCACTGTCTGCAAATCGAGCAATCAGCCTCTCCTTTATGGTTTTGTATTTATCATCAGCTGGAGGATTTCGTACAATTTCGGCCACTTCGCTTAAAACTTCGCAGCTGAGGCTAGCCACGGTGTAGTCAAACTTGCTATTGTCGGTTGTAATGCCGGCAGTACGAAATTGGCATTCAATGCGGTGAAACCATAGTTCTGGCTCGCTTTTCCAAAATTCTGGGGCTTTGAAGCTTACTTTGTGTACTTCATGTGCTCCCGCGCCTTCTTGCGTCATGTTTGTGTAAAGGAATATAAGAGTTTGTTGAACAAAGCGTGCACGTAGTTTTTGTTTGGATTGCGTTGTTTTGTCGTAAAACACAGGGGTCACCAATTGTGGGGGTGTTTTAAGGTAACTAATTAAAACAGTTCACTTTTCTTAACTACGTAACAAGAGTATTTTATTTATTCGTTACAAACTTATATCTTTGGATTTATTTCTACAGAAAAAATGCGGCAAATTGCTTGTCAGTCTCTACTGTCACTTTTTCACTTCTGCCAACATTTCTTGTGTTGCCAACTTAGGTTTGTTCCTTACTTCGGTACAGTAGTGACGCCACAAAGTAACTAACTTAACCACAACATTTTTTAGGCTAAATACACTTAGCAGCAAAAGTATCGCATAATGTTAATAATCGTTATAATTCGTTTAAAAATAAATCTTTCTAAAACATTTTGAGAAAACCTGGTACACTAATAAGTAATTTTAATAAAACCAGGTATTTATCTTGTAATGTACGTTTTTTATATATTTTTTTTACAAAAATTATAAAAACCCAATATCGGAATATTATTTCTTTAGCATTAAAATGTACTTCAGTTGGTTTTCTGTAGTGCAAATGATCGTTTTACATTGCAATAATAAAAATGAATCAAAACCAAGTTCAAAATCGAAATTTAACAGAGCAGCAATCTGTAATAGCTGTCACTCTGAGTAATGAAGGAAGAAATCAGGCGTACATTGCTCAGCAGCTAAATGTAAATCAGTCTACCATAAGTAGAGCTTTAAGCCGATTCAGGGAAACAGGGCAGTATACAAGAAGACTTGTAACAGGACGTCCAAGGGTTACTACTCTCGCACAGGACCGTTTTCTCAGATTAGTGACGCTTAGAACACGAACTGTGACGGCGCCATATCTCCAAAATCGGCTCTTAGATGCCCATCAAGTGCAAATTAGTATAGATACAATAAGAAAAAGGCTTCGTGAAAACAATCTGACTCCTCACCAAGCTGCTACGGGACCGTTACTAACCGCAGCTCATAGGAGAGAAAGACTTCAATTTGCTCGAGATCATGCAAATTGGGTAGAAGATGATTGGGCCAGAGTTCTTTTCTCCGATAAGTCCAGGTTTTGTCTCTACAATAATGATCGACGTGTAAGGGTTTACAGACGTGAAGGAGAGCGCTACGCTCAGTGCAACATACTCCCCAGGGTGAGCTACGGAGGAGGGTCAGTTATGGTGTGGGGCGGGAGATCTTTGCAAGCACGTACGGAGTTGGTGGTTTTTCAAAATAGGGCTCTCACTGCTCGAAGTTATATAGAGACAATTTTAGATCCCCATGTCATGCCATATGCCCCGTTTATTGGACCTAATTTTCTATTTATGCAGGATAATGCGCGCCCCCACACAGCCAGAATTGTTCGTGATTATTTACAAGAGGTTGGAATTGCAACTATGGTATGGCCTGCTAGAAGTCCAGACCTGCACCCGATCGAACACATATGGGACAACATGAGAAGGCAAATTACAGCCCGTCAAAACCCACTAAACAGCCTAGATGACCTCAGAAATAGCCTACCTGACATATGGGAGGCGATACCTCCAAATGAGGTTAGAAACCTTATTATTAGCATGCCAAGAAGGTGTCAAGACGTTATTCGGGCACGTGGTGGAAATACGCGGTATTGAACCCGAAATAAAAAATATTGTTACAAAATTTTATTTAAGAATAATTTTTAATAATAATTTTATAATGGATTTGGTATTATTTTTTGTTATTAAACTGAATATATAATTATTTTATGTCTTTTATTTAAACTGTAACCAAAATTTACTAAAAAAAATGTGTTTTACAGAGATTTTTTAAATTATGCAATACTTTTGCTGCTAAGTGTACTTTTTCCAATAAATATTATATCAGTTAGCTGATAAAGATTGTATTTATTGTGATCTAGGAATGCATGTTCTTTTTATTCATTATCCAAGCATTATATTTTTTACTTCGTGAATATTTGTTCCTTACAAATTTTTTGTGACTCCAGTAGTTTCTGAGATAAGTATATGGGTCACCTTACGTGGACCACCCTGTACATCAACTAAATCGCTTAAAACAGGAAACTCATTTATAATTGGTTGAAGAGATCTAACTTTATAGGCTTGTGCAGAACTTGGTTCAACAATCAAGTTTAAAAATTGTATCTTTAAAACAGAATTGTTTTTTTACTTCTGCACACAACTCAAGACAAAAGTTAAGGCAACTTTTATAAAAAACATTCAATTCATGCTTTTTACATTGTTTTAATTCAAGTATTCTGTTTGTCGCAACAAGACCCAAATACATCTTTTTCAAATGCATGGGAGGGTTTTTAAGACATCTTCGGCCTTAAAACTCTGGATCTTTAAAAAATTGCATAAACCTTCTTTTAAAGACCTTCAGTTACAGGCTTTAATTTTTAAAGGAGAGGTCTTTCTTCTTGAAACAATTTGTTAAAATTATTCAACACTTTTAAGATATAGGACATGAATTCCAAATATATTTTGGTAAAGGAATTTTTAATGTTTTCAAAATAACTTCTGTAGTTTTTGATGGGTCTACAAAAACTATTTCTGAAAAATAGGCCACAAATGCATCAAATTGTTTCAGCACCCTACCCAGCAAACAAAAAGACGTCCCATAGATGACGGATTTTAGTCATTTTGATAACGTGTTGACGTCTTTGAAAGACGTCTTAATGACGATTGGGAGATCTGCATATGTCACATCATAATTACGTCATTATAGTGCCGTATCTTAGTCGTCGTGCAAAACGTACCTGCGACGTTTAAAATTGACGTATATTTGACTTCTTTTATGGATCAAAAAAAGGCAAAAAATATTTTTATAGAAAATATAAAACAAAAATACATTTTGGAGACTTAACTTGAAAAATATTATTTTTTCTTATACCCACTTATTAATATAGGTACTTATTTATTATATAAAAGAACCTCGAAAAATACAATGCATTTTCGAGTGTAACCATGAAACATTTTTTGTTATACCTATTTATTAATATAGGTAATAATTACTATTAAAACACTTCAACAAAAATCCAAGCCAATACACAAAGTTACTCTTTAATTTTTGCTTTGCCTGGCGCGCCATGGCGCTTAAGAACTTATATATAAATATAAAACAAAAATATATTTTGGAAACTAGACATGAAAAATCCTTTTTTTTCTATACTTTATATTATAGTTATTGTGCGAAAGTGAAAAAAAGAGGAGATTCCTCGAGCGTGCGAGTGCGGTAACACGCGAGTGGAATATCCTCTTTTGACGAATTGTCGCACACAATATTTTATTAGCTAATATTGATGCGCAAAACAATAATCTGCTTATTTTTAATTTAAAACAATAATTAATGTACACAATATTAATCACTACTCATTGATGTCAAAAAACTAACTGACTGATAAAGAAAAATACCTACGTTTTTTTATCCTATTGCAATAGCATTAAATAAGATTATAATTACTTACTAATAGTTGTCGGTATTGTCGGTTAGGGTGTCCCATAAATCCCATTTAAATTTTAGAATAAATAAATTTTGTGTCTCACCCTCTAAAAAGTTTCTTTATAACATTGATATTTTAGTCGTAAAATTTCATTACATTCGGTTTATATTTAGAAGGCCCCCAAGTGTCTACTATTTGGGCTAATTTCGAATTTTCGAGCCTTTGTGCTAGTGAGAGGTCGGTAAGTTAGTACGCCTAATTTACACCATAATGTAATGGCTGACATACTTTCAGTGACAGTAGTTCACGTATGTGACGAATAGCAGTACAATTGTCGTTTTTCTTTTTTTATATTTATCACCATGGCGACAAAGTCAACCCGAAGCAGTGATAATATATGGTTAATAGGACATGCCAATGAAATTATATCTGGTGCCCGTCTACCTTCAGGTCGTGATGTGATGCGCAATTTTGTGTTTTACCATCGGTCTCAAAAGCTTACAATTCGGGATAGTGCCGAACTGGTGCATAATCAGCTAGTGCCCTTCTGGATAAAGTCTAGACTTCCCATCAGGCAAAAATATCATATTATTAAAAAAATAAAGGAATTTTATGAAGAACACGTCCGTCTAATGAAGCATAAAACAAGAAATAACCCGACCGACCAAAAAAACCAGCAAAAATTCATTGATAAGTTGGAAAAACTGTTCGACATTAGTCACGCCAACAGTCAACAGCTGATTAAAAATGAAGGGGACCGACAGTTTTTAAAGTTGCAGCAAGAGTCCAGAACTGGTTCTATCGGGCCTGTGGACAAGAAACTTGCTAAACAGGAGATACGGTCTGCTCTGCGTAAAGAGCGATTTAATCAACGCCTAACCGCTCTTGTAAGTCACCAACAATCTCAATCAGCTTCAACGTCAAAAGCAAACATGTCTAAAGATAATGGAGAAGATAATGTTTCTGAGATTTCAAACTCTTCGGCCATGGATGGCAAAAATAGCATTGAAAATAAATCCGAAGTTGAATTTGTTGCTTCGGCATGCAAAACCACTAAAACCAGTAAACCCGTTGAACGGAAACGTATTATATCTTCAAAAGTTTCAGCTGTGCTGGACCGGACTAATACCAGTATCAGAAAGTCTACAATGATTTTGGCGTCTGTAATTAATGAGGCAGGATGTTCTACTTCTTCTGCAGTTCTTTCAAAGAGTACCGTCCACCGACGACAGAAACGTCGTCGTGAAGCTGCACAGATAATTAAAGACAATTATCAGGCCACCAAATCAGTTGTTCACTGGGATGGTAAACTGTTAGCAGATGTGACTGGCGATGATAAAGTAGAACGTCTACCTGTTCTAGTTTCCTCTTTAGTTGAAAGTACAACTAAACTTCTTGGTGTTCCGAAGTTAACATCTGGTTCTGGCCAAGCAGCAGCTGAGGCAGTACATGAACTGTTGCAGTCTTGGAACTGCGATTCTGTGGTCTTCGGTATGTGCTTCGACACGACTGCTTCGAACACAGGAAGATTGAATGGAGCCTGTACAATTCTAGAGCACCTCATTGGGAGAAATTTGCTGAGGATGGCTTGCCGACACCACATGTTCGAAGTGCTTCTTTCAGATGCCTTTAACGTGTGTTTTGGTCCGTCTACTGGTCCAGATATTATTTTTTTAAAGAGATTTCGGGACAGTTGGTCTAAGCTCAACCATGACTATAATCGACAAGAAACTCCTTTAATATCTACGTCAGAGCTTCAGAAAAAATTTATATCTAAAAAATTAAAAGAGAACCATCCTCGAGACGACTACAAGGAGCTTCTTACCCTTGCAGGTTTATTGATTGGACTGAATATCGCATCTACTTCAATTCTGAAGCCAGGTGCACTTCATAGAGCTCGCTGGATGGCAAAGGCAATTTATTGTATGAAAATCGAACTACTGCTAGATCTTGAAGAAAACCAAACTGCATTTCGCGTGACAGCTTATGAACTCCAAGGACTTAAACGATTTAACCGATTTGTTGTCTGCGTTTACATTGAGTCTTGGTTTACAAGTACATCTGCAGCTGACGCACCCAGGAACGATATTATGTTGATTCAAAGACTCCAAAATTATAGCGATGAAAAATTAAGAACTGTTGGTCTCAAAATGATGCAGCGCCATTCTTGGTACCTAATCCCAGAGCTAGCAACGCTTGTTCTTTTCTCTGAACATATGTCTCCTGAAGACAAATCACACATTGTGCAACATAATCTCCAATCAGAACGAGGCTCGCACTTGCTAAAGTCACTTCCACATACAGTTCGCGATATAAAAATTTCTCGCAGCTTTTTTCAAGTTCTTGGTATAGAAGACAGTTTTCTTAGTGCACCCGTTGAAACTTGGCCCAAAACTCTGACATTCAAGAAAGCTGCAGATTTAGTTAAAAACCTGCCTTGTGTGAACGACTGCGCTGATTCAGACATTCAATGAGAGCACGAAGGATGAAGTGCAAAAGCAGTATTTACTACAAGTTGTCGAGAAACATAGGAAAGACTTTACTAAGTACAATCGTAATGACCTTGCAAGCATGTAGTTTAATTGTTAACCTGTTTTGTATTATTTACCTACTAGCAACAATGTTAAGTAAAATAAAAAAATGTCATTAATCTAAACAGTATTTTTTAATAAGCTTTAAACAATTTTTAAGGTAACAAAACATATTTTTACCATTTAAAAAGGTAACTACTTTCATCCAAGTAGTGTGCAATTTAAAGGGGCTTGGGGGACCCCTAAATATTATTTAATTGAGTTTAAACTTTGTAAGTATTACTCATTTACTGTAGTGAACCATATAAGAAGGTGAGAGTTATCATTTTCAAACTTTCATTTTTATGGGACACCCTATTGTCGGTAACAGATAGGTATTTAGGATTTATTTCAAAGGAATCCAATCTTTATAATCTGTGCTAAAGGCAAACGAACGAACGAAAAACAACACACACAAAAACAATGGCGGATAACGCGGTAGTTTCGACTTCAACACATGAAACAAGGAAGAGAAGATATGCCGCTAGCCGTTTTAATTTGGTTTGGTTTGCGCATGACGTCACGCCGAGAGTATATGAATTTGTCATATTTGTTTATGTTGTTATTGTGAGATGTTTACCGGTTATTTCGTGTATTATTTGTGTTATTTATTGTAATATTTGTGTGAAAGAAAACAAGAAATAAAGTGTGCAGTATATGGATGTAATTCGGACAACCAATCCAAAATATTTCCGCAGGATATTAGATTTTTTACGTTTTCAAATGACAAAAAAATGCATTAAAAAAAAGCAGTCCCATCTCAGAACTTGCCTAAATTAAAAACACATGTGCAGGAACAGGAATCTAGTAGAGAATACATTAAAAAAGTAAGTTGAATGTTTTTTAAACAATTTGTATTTATTATTTAATGCATTGTTTTTGTAGAAATAAAGGTGAATCGTTGGGTTAATGTATCAAAAATATATACAGTGTGACCCACTTAAGATGGAAACACCCCCGTAACTTTTTTGTTTGTAACCCGATTTTATGGAACAAAGGCTCAAAAGATAGAGAATAAAAAACTCTATTAGAGCTGTTAAAGTTGTTTTTAAAGTCACCCGACACATGCCTACTATAATTTTTTTTCTGTGTCAAAATAAAAAAAAACATTTAGGGTAATTTTTTCGAAAAAAATAAGTACGCCACTGAATTTGGCATGCTTAAAAATGGGTAAATACCAAATTTCATTAAAAACAATCGATTGATAATTATTTTACAACGGTTAATTTATTGATTTTTTAAATGTTTATAACGACAATCGAAACACATATAAAAGGTTTAGGAAAAAAATAGGTACGCCACCGAGTTTGGCAGGCTTTTAAATGGGTATATACCAAATTTCATCAAAAATAAACAATTAATAACTATTTTGGGCAAGTTTATTTTTTTACGTTATAATCATTAATAATTATAATTAATTATTGCTACAAAACAAAAACTAAGATAGCTATGCTTACAACTTCAAACAAACGTCAAACCAAAAACAGGCGATTTGACAGAAAATAGTAGCGTCCTTTTTGTGTATTTTTAACAGTGTATTTAAAAGTTCTTATCTACAATCATTATGGCCCATCAGTTTTTAGAGCACAAAGTTGAAATAATTTCGTTATCTCCTACTAAACGGACAATTATTGTTTATCAATCGATTGTTTTTAATGAAATTTTGTATTTACTTATTTTTAAGCATGCCAAATTCAGTGGCGTACTTATTGTTTTCGTAAAAATTACCCTAAATATTTTTTTTCAATTTTGACACAGATAAAAATTATAGTAGGCATGTGGCGGGTGACTTTAAAAACAACTTTAAGAGCTCTAATAGAGTTTTTATTCTCTATCTTTTGAGCCTTTCTTCAATAAAATCGGGTTAGAAATAAAAAAGTTACGGGGGTGTTTCCATCTTAAGTGGGCCACACTATATATATATATATATATATATATATATATATATATTTGGTTTAAAAGTATAAAATTAAATGACAATAAAATAAAGCAGTTTAGGGTCTAAATGCAAAACCAGACATTTGACACATAAGTCGTTTTGAGTAAAACGAAAAAAACCTGCCGAAATCTTAGAGCTAAGCCAATGAACTTTTTGATCAAAAAATTGGATAATTTGTTAGTAATGGATACTGATGTGTCGAAAAATTTTTGACTTCTTATTACAAAGATATTTTGTTTAAAAAGTTTCAGATGTCTTGATTTGCAAATGTATACTTATGCATCTAAATAAAACGCAAATGTCTGGTTTTGATATTGCGATGTTGCTAGCGCTATCTTATTTATTAGTAATCGAGTGAAGAGGTTGTAATAAAATAAGACTGCAAATAAAATAATTTTAATAGAAAACTGAAATAAAAATATGTAGATATAGCTAAACTGTAAGGTTATTGTCTTCATTATCAGATAAAATAATCATTTCTTCGTCGGGATTCTCAGGATTATCCTCCATCGTTAACAAAGATGAAATGCTTTTGATTTTATCGGGTTTAAGACTTCTCCCTATAATCATTGGTTGCAACTGGATTTGAGTAATTTTCTTGCCTTTCTTGTAATATGGTTCACCTTTAACAAGAATGGATCCATTATTGGTTTTTGACGAGGGGTGGTTTACTCTTCGAAGTAGGTGTACATTTTTGTCGAAGTACAGCCGAAGTATTCGAAGTACTTCCGAAGTATTTAAAGTACCTAGAAGTATCTCTGAAGTACTAGAAGTACCTTCGAAGTATTTTCGAAGTACTCGAAGTACATCGGGATATTCCGCATGATTTCGTGTGTTTACGTTTACGACTGTTTCTTTCCAGAGTTTTGCAGACTAAATAACCTGCAGTCAAAACAAATATGTCGCAATAATTAGAGCGTGTAGTGAGTGACTTGTGCAAGTAAATAAAGTATCAAGTAAGTTAATAATAAAATGTAATAGTTACAATTATTTTCTCTCATCAAAAAAATCAAAAAAATGCTTATATACCAGTAGATATAACTATAGTTGCTTTTCTTTATAAAATAATATTGTTTTTGTTTTTAAAACGTTGTGGTGTCGTTTATTTATTTAAGGTTATATGAACATTGGTTGCCCCTAAAAACCTAAAAATTGTTTGGCTGTCAAATGTGTAGGTAAGCAATATGGCGACATTTTTAACATTGGAAATGTTTATGTTCGTATATATGGGCAAAGTTCTGACTTTTTGTTCAAATAGTAGGCATGTGGCGGGTGACTTTAAAAGCAAAAGCTATTATACAACAATTAATATAAAAACATGTAATCAATATATATTACTGTGTATGTAAATTCTTAATAGTGACTTAAATCTATTTAAATTATCACATTTTTTAATATCACTTGGCAAATTGTTAAACATTTTCAGACCATTAACAAATACATTTTTAGTAGTCTGCAGTCGACTAAAATTTTCAATATAAAAATCACTTGCACTTCTCGTTCCATGATCATGAATACCATCTACCCTAATCAATCTGTTACTTAAAAACTCTGGTAAAGCTCCAATTTTTAATTTAAAAATAAATAACATAGAATTAAATACAATAGATTGCTTCACGCTCATTAAACTTAAAGTATCTAACATAGTTTTGATATGCGTATAGCGATTACATTTTAGGATTATCCTCATTGCCTTATTTTGCAACTTTTGTAGTCTCTTATTTTGATTTATTTCAAACAGAATACACGAACAAAATACAGAGTGATGGCATTAAACATATATACAGGGTGTTTGTATTACAGACATATACACAAATATACAGGGTGTTTTGTGTTTCGGTGTATTTTAGTTTACTTCTGTATATTTCAGTGTGTTTTGGAAATGTTGATGTTCGTATATGGGGGCAAAGTTCTCTTCTTTTCGTTTAATAAAAAAAAAACAAATTTGTCGCCATTGTTGCAGGTACATTAGGTACAGGGTGATTACATTTAACATATATACAGGGGGTTTGTATCACACATATATACACAAATATACGGGGTGTTTGTATTACACCTTGTATTACACTTATATACAAATACTTATACAGGGTGTTTGTGTTTTAGTGATTCTATATGTTTCAGTGTTTCGGTGTGTTTTAGCGGGTTTCAGCGTGTTTTTGTACTTGTTCAGGGTGTTTCAGTATATTTTGGGTTTTTAGCGTGTTTCAGTGTCTTTTATTGTGTTTGATTGTGTTTTCGGGTGTTTCAGTGTGTTTTGGTGTGTTTTAGCTGGTTTCAGTGTGTTTTACGTGTTTTAGTGTTTTTAAATGTCAAGGTGGAACTTTAGTGTGTGGAGCATAATACCTATAACATTATATAAAAATGTTATTATATTGCTTACCTACGTATTTGACCATAGAATAGAAAAACTTGTTCGGTTCAAATAAATCGACACCACGTTTTAACAACAAAAACATTTTAAAAAGAAACGCAACTAGAATTATAACCATAGGAAAATAATATAAATACTAGTTAGGGTACATCCATTAATTACGTGAGGCATTTTTCTGATAATTTGGACCCCTCCCTCCCCCTTGGTGAGATTTGGTAAGATGTGGTAGACCCTCCCCCCTATCCTTCACGTGGGATTCTAGCCTTTAAACTTTCATTGCGGACAACATAACATAAACCCCAAAAAAATTGATTTCTTCTTTTTGACAAATTTGAATTAAATACTTCTTTTCTTTAAACCCAAAAGTTGACGTGAGATTATTAGTGAACTATAAACTTTTGCGAAAGAAGATTTGGTACATTTAGTTCCTCATACAGTTGAATATTTTGAAATTTATCACAATAATATTGACAAATTTAAAATAGTTGTTGGGGATAAATTAAAGTTGTTTCACATTTCGGACTTTGTAAAAAAGGAAATTCGCAGAAAGGCAGCTCATGTGTTAAGTGATCTACAAAACCGAAGGGGAAA